TACTGGCATACCAGCATTTTTGGCAGCTTGAATACCATTTAAAGCATCCTCAAAAACCAAACATTGTTCTAGTGAAGGATTACCTAATCTTTCACGAGCTGTTAAGAAAATATCAGGAGCAGGTTTACCATGTTTTATTTCTGGATCATCACCACAAACGATCCCATCAAATAATTTAAATAATTCTTGATTATTCATGGATTTAAATTCGAATGCTTTTCGATGGGAACTTGTTGCTACCTAATAGGAGGAAGAGAAATTTAGAGATGATATGTGTGAAAAAGGGTATTTAGTTGTATGAACCATGATTACTTACGATAATTGGTATGTTATGTTCCTTTAAATGTTTTACGAGACGCTGAATCATTTTAAAAAAAGTGAATCCTAAAAAAAATGAGCGTATAAGAATTGTAAAAGTTAAGAAATATAAACCAACCATCACGCCCGGCATTGGTTTGGTAAAAGGAAATTTCTCTTTCTAACAATAGGGTTAAATCATTAGGTCCAAAAGTTATAAATGGCAATTTAGTTTATTTGTTTTACCTGTCTTACAATAGACTCTTCAACGTATTCATCAATTGTAAGTGAAATTCCTGTTTCTTTAATCAAAAGAGCAACAGCCTAAAAATAAACAAAATTAAATAAATATATTTTTGACTATAACTGAATATTTTTTTTTTTAAAAAAAAAACAAGTACTTCACGTTGACGAAGACCCATCATTTTGGATTTTATATCCCATCCGAAAGTCATACCAAATCTTGATAAAATTTCGTCTGAAATATGAACTGAGTTAGACAAAAGAATTAATTTAGAGCGAATAAAATATTTATTCGCTTACTTGAGACTTCTGTGTAAATCCTTTCAGTATCCTTTTGAAAATAATAATTTTGGAGTTAATTTTTTAAAACATTATCAGAGAAAAAAAAGAATGCAACCTTACCAACAAAAGTCCTGTAACCAATCCATTGATAAGAATAAATTGAGAACTTTTAAATTTTTATAAAAAAAAAAAACTATTATTAATATGAACTAACTAACCATCCATGTCAAAAATACAATGAGTAATTTTCATTTTGTTCAAAACTCTATTTCGACTTTTGGGCGTATTTTCCAAAAAAAAAAAAATAAAATAAAAAAATAAAAATAAAAATAAAAAAAAAATAATAAAATAATAATTTTCGTACCACCTTTTATTATAGTTAACTAATCTTATAATGGAAATTATTATACGAAAAATTGTACCCGTGTGAAAGAAAAATAAAGGTTATAACATTCTCCATGAAAGTGATCTGCGTATAGTCTTAAAACTGATACGTGTCAAAATAAAAATAACTTTTTAAAGGCTGGGATTGAGCTGCAGGATGAACCGTACTGCTGACATCTGACAGATTTTATTCCCAGGCGCAAATCTCACAATCACCTGACGCTCATCAACATGTCTGTATATGGAAATGCATTTAATTATTTTAAATTTGCATAAATAAGTATATAGCTCCAAGGAGCGTTTTTCAACAATTTTTTCCCACAAGTTGAAGTAATAACGAGCATTTATTTTTTATGTTTATCTTTATTATAAAAAACTTTTTATTCAATTTGATTTTATCAAATTAAAATTTTTTAATTGTATTGTACGAAAAATATGGCACCAACCCCTATACGACAAAATGAAGTAACTTCTATTCCAAATAAAAAATACCTTAAAATCGATATACATACGTGAGTTTTCCTAAAAAGAATAACGATAATAATAGTAAATCTGTTCATGAAGAAAAAAAATCTTGGTTAATAAGTTTGTTTCCTTTTTTTATTTTAGCCATATACTTCCTAAATATTGGCCAGATTTAAAGAAAAAATTTGGTCATGGTAGATGGATGCAATTGGATCATTTCGAGCCGGTAAGTGGTATCTCAAACTTTTGTAGTGATCGTTCAAAACCACGACGTAGTAATATCAACTACATCCTTTTTTTGATTGAACTAGGGAAAGGCGAGAATGTTGTTGGATGGCAGGAATTTTCGCGAAATTAAATGTAATTGTTGGTCAGCAGAAGAGAGGAAACGGGAATGTGATAAAACTGGGGTCGATATTCAAGTAGGTATAATTATAAGTCGCAATTTTACGCGTTGTGGGTTTTCTTAACAGAAATGTGATTTTAGGTATTGTCAACAGTCCCAGTGATGTTTTCATACTCTGCAGCACCTCAACATACACTTGAATTAGCAATGTATCTTAATGATCATATAGCTCAAGTTTGCAAAGAAGATCCAAAAAGATTTGTTGGACTTTGTACTTTACCAATGCAATCCCCTGAATTATCTGTAAAAGAGTTACATAGGTGCATTAATGAACTTGGATTTGTTGGTGTTCAAATTGGAAGTCACATAAATGATTGGAATTTGGATGCTCCTGAATTGGATCTATTTTGGAATGTAGGTCCCCTTAGTCAACCTTTTGCATATAACATCCGAATTTTATTAAAATGAATTTTATTTATTCTATAGGCTTGTGAAGAACTTGATGCGGCTGTTTTTGTTCATCCTTGGGATATGGAAAACAAAGGCAGAATGGAAAAATATTGGTTTCCTTGGTGGGTGAATTCAAAAAAAAAATGTTGCTTCTTTTTTTTTTTTCGACAATTTTTAATCCATAAATCAATCATTATAATTTAATAGGCTCATTGGAATGGTAGGTTACAAAAATATCTTAGTCCAATCTTACAAATAATTTCTAAAGGCAGCTTCTCCCATCATTACAGCCCTGTGAAACTACGGTATCAATTTGTTCGCTTGTAATGGGAGGAGTACTTGAAAGGCACCCGAGACTTAAAGTATCGTTTGCTCACGGTGGAGGATCATTTCCAGCAACTTTAGGACGGATTGTGCATGGATTTAATGTTCGACCTGATTTATGTGCTATAAAAATCAAAAAGGATCCATTGGAGTATCTAGATCGAATTCATGTTGATTCACTTGTGCATGATGAAGAAACCTTACGTTTCCTAACAAAAAAATTGGGAATTGACAGGGTAATGTTGGGGAGTGATTATCCCTTTCCGTTAGGAGAACATCATCCCGGTAAATTGATTGAAGAATGTGATTGGTTAACCGAAGAGGAGAAGGAAAAGTTGCTAAGCGGAAACGCACTTAGATTTTTCGGAATTGAACATAAAAGGGAAATGTTAATTAATAATATAAAACGTTAAAATTTTTTTGTTTTATAAAATAATTACAAGATTGATAATCGCGTGATTTTTTTTCGATAAGGTTTTTTTTTTTAATTTTATATTTGATTAATAAACTTTAATTACAGTAAGTGAAACATATATGTATTTATTGGCGGGCATGTTAGAAAAGGAGTTCTTTATATTAGATATCCAAGTGATCTACAAGAGCACAAACCACAAATTGTTTATTCACTGATATTTAATAATTTGGTTAACCCGTTTAAGTACCAAGATAACCAGATCATTACACGGAATTCACGGGAATTTCCATTCAGAATCGGTATAGGCACTAAACCATAAAGTCTTTATTTAGTGAAACTTTGTATGTACTGTTCAAAGCAAAACACAATTACAAACGGAATCATTAAAAAAAAAGTTATTAATTTCCATTTTTCTTTTTATTTATTAACCTTTAAAAAAGGCTAGAACAATTAAAAAATAAAAAAAGGGACCTTTTATTTTATTCTTTTATATACACTATCAAAAAAAGTCCGATAATTATGACCAAAAAGGTTGAATAAATTTTAATCGATAATAAATACGACAAATATAGTTAGCGTTTCAAATAAAAAAAAATTTTTTAAGGAACCAACATCTGTTATCTTGAAAATTTTTTTTTTTGATAAAAAAATACTATATATATATAATTATTTTAAAAATTGTATGTAAAACAATATCATCACCGGATCACATTATAGAAAATAATAATAAGCTTGTTTAATCGTGAGAATTTTTTTTCTGAAATTATGTGCGCATATGTATAAATGACTCATTCAAATTGTAATAACTTTCTGGAATCATCTCTTTCCGAATTATCCCGTAGCGTTACGTAACCTCCATTTCAAACTAATCGAACAATTACTTATATATATATATCAATTATAACACTTTTATAGATGGTAAATGTATTTTATTTAATAAATGACTATCCATTGGATAAAATCCCTAATTTGTTGCGCAGCATCAAAAAGATTGGGTCACCCAATCATAATTATCATAATTACGTCCAAATGAAGTTTGTTGATTTGCCACATGACTAGCAAAATATTTTCTCAGATAACAAAAAAAATTTTTCCTGATAACGTAACACACCTTCAGAATTTTTTTTTATATATTCATTTTGTGATAATTTTTTTTTTAAAAAAAATAATAATAATAGCAGAATAGGGCTTATTATATTCTCTGTCAATTCATAATTCATTTATACATAATTTGTTGGATAATATTTGTTGTCGTAATTACAAATTTTTTTTTCAATTCCAAAGCCCGTGGAAAAGAAAAAAAATATATAGAAGAAAAAAAACGGAGTAAAAAAATTTTAACAATTATTAGAATTTTCTTTTCAATGAAGAAAAAAAAAAGTTTAAGTAGTAGTAAAAAAAGATTAGGGGAAAAAAAAAATAAAGTAAAAATAAACATCAATACAAGAGGAATCTAATTCATCCCAATCACGTAATAAAAGGGACAAATCTTTATATACAAGTAGGGCAGTACACTATTCTACCTCTAAAATGACTGTCCAACATCCCTCTTGTAGAGCTTTATGAATAAAAAAAAAATATATATGAGAAAAAATAAACAGAGAAAAGGAATATAAAGCAATGTAATATAAAACAACCAAATTGGCGGAATGAATAAAGCAGGCGTGTATAAAAAAATGTATATATAAAAATAATTGTTCATCAAATAAAAGTAATTGTCGCCTTTGCTAATCGCCTTGGTACATTAAAATATAAAGGAGAGGGTAAATATACAAAGGGTAAAGGGGAGATGAATTAATGTTGTTTTATACATGCAAGATCAACGAGGATTTGCGCAGCCTAAATTGAAAAAACATCGTATTAATACTTGTAATAGGCGTTTTTAAATAAAAACATTGGACAGAGACACTTGAACATATGTCAAGCATAAAATGGTAGGGTATGCTCTTACCTCCATCATCTGTACCTGCTGGTGTTTAGTCAAGTTGAACTTGAGACATAGTTCCCAGCTTTCGTGATGTTCCCACAAATGCTGCAAAATAAAAGAGGTTATTATACGTTCCTTTAAGACGAACTCGTGTAAGGAGAGAGAAATAAAGTATAGTACACGTACTTTGACCAAACAGTTTCGGTGTTTGTACCTTTTGCCACATTCGTGACAAGTGTATGTTGTTTTCGAAATTGAGGGTGTTGGACTGTGTTCTTTTGAGCTGTCGGGAGGGGAGACTTGAGTAATATCTTCTTGTTTGATAACGACGTGTTGGGATTGTTCAGCATTTGGTTCAACTAGAAATGCACGACGAGTCAAGTTAGTTCAACCGAAAAGGACGTCAAAGGGAATTTTCTTTTAAACCAACCTAAGGACAACTGAGCAGGGTTACTGTTGGCGGGAGCAATATTATCTGCACCCATTGAGTAATATTCAACGGACTGTACTTGATTGACTGAGTAAGTGTTCATTGTTTAATAAGAAGTTGTGGTTTACCGTTTGTTGTTTATGAGGGAAATTTTTGGTGTTGTGATAATTGTATGTGGTATAATGGAGACGTATTTATAAATTTTTTACGAGTTGTTAATATAGGAAATATTTATTATCAAAAAAAAAAAAAAAAAAAAAAAAAAAAAAAAAGGCAACCAGAAATTTTTTTGTGCCAAACGGTTTCACCAAGCGCAGCGAGGTAGAGTTTCCGTGACAAAATTCTAGAGTAATAAAGTAATGAAGGGGTGAAAGGATAAAAGGAGTAAAAGAAGACAGAGGCGAGAGTAAAACAGACAAAAGGAACAACAAATTTTGTTAAGAGAACAAAGAGTAAAATATATATTTAAAATAAGGCTTTAGATTATATTTATTTTTTTTTAAAAAAAAAAAAAAAAAAAAAAACACGGTAAAAATTTTGACCCTTTTATAATTACCGGTTTGATAAAAAAAAAATTTTTAATTTTTTTACAGAACTTTAACCTTATTATGGCATTTTTGTTTTTATCGACCAATGAAAACTCGAAAAACGAAATCCGGGATCAGGATCACGTGAAACAGGTGATATGTTACCGAAGTACTATCATACGAATAATAAATTACGATATTATTTGTTTGTTGTTTGCAAAAGTGAATGAACACGGGGCATTGAACAATTCTTTTTATATATAAAGGAATAATATTATAGTATAAATTCAAACTACTTCAACTTTGCACATAAAAAAAGAAATGACAATCCACAGTTTTATTCTAAAGTTCTAATTTGGAAAAATCGGTTTCAAAGCAATCGTGTGACAACATTGTACCAGCCCATCATTTTTTGTTCTTTATTTCTATTTTTCTTATTTGTCACTTTTTGAAACAACCGGTATTTTTTTTGTTCAGCCCGTTTCAATAAAGAATATGCATATAAAAAAGGAAAAGTGTAGAGATCATTTTTTCTTGTATTTAATTTAAGGATGATCATTCAACATATCATCAATTGATTGGTCAGAACTTTTGAACTAAGCTCATCGTAATGATTTAACAATTAATTGTATCACTCACTTATCAATTGAATTCTTCACTTTCCCAATTAACATATCAATCATTTTACTATTATAAAATTTTTTTGGAAAATAATTCGACACACTTGATTTCTATTTCAATTTTTTTTTCTGCCTAACCCTTTTTTTTCCATAATTGATAAATTTTTTATTAAAAAGGCAATTTTTAAGGTTCCATGTCATTATAAGGAGAGTCAATGAACTTACAATTGGCTCACAATATTTAAGTTCCCTTCACTCTAATCTTTAACTGGTAAAATTACCAACATAAACTTTATATGAAGAAAATTTTTTATTTGATAAATGCACGTAATTTCGCATGCTGAAATAAAAAAGCGGTATTTTTTTTTTTTCAGCATTTTACATTCCAATCTAGTGTAATAAGGTTAATCGTAAGAAAATGATAGGCATAAACTATAAATGATTGCCGATTTTGGGAGGAATTGATTTCTGATGATATTCTTTTTTTTTCGGGATTTTATCATGAGAGGATACCCAGAAAACTTTTCGAAAATTGTGTGGAATTGGATCCGCAGCATCTTACATGATCCCCTTGTATAAAAAATGATTTTCATTTCTACAAGCCTCCCCACTAATATTTTTTCACGAGTGAATACATTCGAAATTCTCAAATATGGTAAATTTACATTCATTCATCAAAAGAGAAATAAGGGGTGAGAATTTTGGTTCCAATTCCGTCACGCGATTGAATAGGCGTAAGAACTGATACTGCCACACATTCCTCCTATAAAAAAAATCACTTCCCTGTCACATCATTATATGCTTATATCACTATTTTGGGGTAAAAGCCACACTATCTCAATTCCCACGCTTTGACAAAGAAAATATCCTTTTGGTGTGACCATTGCTAATTTTGTCTAATTCTTACCGGTTTTATTTGATAAATGTTAATTCGACAAAATTATTGCTGCGGGACAGATTTTCTTCCAATCGTTCTGAAGATACCTCCCACATATCCCATACAAAAAAAAATGAAATCACAAAAGTTCATGATTAAACCCCTGTATGATCGGTTGACATATTCATGTTTTTTGAGTTGCGCGCTGCGGATCATAATCTGATCTAACTCATATTTTTACTGATAATCTTACATCTGTATTATTAAGATTCGTTCTTATCTATGATTTTTTGATATCTTTTAATCTTTGTATGTGTGTGTGTATATATATAGATATAGTTTTAATAAAATAAATTAAAAATTGTGTGTACCTTTACAAATATTTACAACACTTGTAAAACGTCTTTTTAATGAAGTGACAATCAGTCTGACACATTTCAAAAAACATTCATCAAAAAAAATCCCATACATGCACAAATAAATCTTGGGGTAAATATTCGTAAATTATTTCACAAATGATGAAATTTTTTAATATAATCCAAATAAAGTTAGTAATTTTGTACAGAATATATTAATTCAATCATAAATGGCAAGCGTTCTTTTTTTTATTTTAATATATAATATCGGATTACCAAATATATGTGCTTAATTTGGTTCATCTGCCATAATAAGTTTTTTTTTTTTCCACAATGATTGTAATTGAATGAATGAACAAAATTTTCGAAAAAGGAAATCTAGGGTGAGATTATAGTCAATAATAATAATAAATTGGAAATCCAAAGTGTATTTAATACAAATAAAATTTTTCTGGTTCTTTGAAACTTTTTGAAGTGATTTTTTTATATGGCTTTTATTTTATTTTATTTATTTATTTATTTTGTGAAAAAAAAAGGTATCTTTTCTTTCTTTAAATAAGTTAACTTTGTCGATTATATAAATGATTATTTGGCTATATACATTTTTCAACACCTATTTTATTTTTAATTATTGTATTTACATTTAAGTATAAAACAATATTTTTATTCTTAAATATATTAGTTTTAAAAATTTTAAACTTGGATTGACATTAGCAATAACATCATGTTCATAATATTTATATTTATAGGTTTAATGAACTTCTAGATAAATCGTGAAATTTAAATTTATATAATTCAAAAACTAATTTTGTTTAAGTTTATCAATTTATAACGTTCTTTAAAAATTATTAAATAAATAAATAGTAATATTGACTTCAAAAAAAATTATTAAATTTCTTAAATATCTTATTTTGATAACAATTAAATTCTAAATTCTTAAATTTAAATTATATTTATTTTAAATAATAAAAAATATTTTAATCAAAAATAAATTAATTGTATTACATTACCTATTTTTTTTTAATAGTACTATTTAATATATGTTAAATAATTTCTATATTTATAATCAAAATTAATTTTACCTCTAATTTAATTATATTTTTATAATGATATATAAGAAGTTATATTATAATATTATATAATCATATCTATATTTAATTATTTCTCTATAAAATTATATAAATATAATCAACAATTAAGATATGTAATTAAATTAATAACTTTTAATTATATTAATTACTTAAAATTTTTAAAAAGAAAATTAAATATTTTATAATAAAAAAAAGTTTAAAAATTATATTTTTAAATTAATATTAACTTGAATTTATTTTACTAAAAAAAAATTATTACTAATCTATAAAATAAAATTTTTTTTATATTTTTATTTTTATTTATAAAGTAATCAATTAATATTTACAAATTTAAAAGATATTAATTGAAAATATTAATACAAAATCTTATAGTTTAAAATAATTATTAAATATAAGTTATATTTTTATATAAAAGTTAATTTTCATATAAAAATATATTTTTTAAAATAATTGAATAAAAAAATTTAAAAAATATAACAATATTTTTAAATGTAAAATAAATAATACATTATTTAAATAGGATAAAGCTATTATTTATAATAAAACTATTTTTTAATTTTTAAATTTATAATAATATTATTTAGCTTAAATAACAATAATTTCAGAAAAATTTGTTTGATAAATCATTAAGAAAATGTTAATAATTACGTAACTCTTTAATATAATTATATTAAAGAGTTTCTAATGATTTGGATTAAAAAGGGATGAAAAAAATATAAATTAATTTTATATCTAATGGGATGTCGGTTTAAGCAAAAAAAATATTTGGTACAATTAAATGTATCTTTAAAGGATAAGCCAGTTATTATTGAAGTTTCTTCATTTGAAGAAGATTCTGAGATATCCTCTGATGTAACTTCATAATCTAGTAGTGACATCATGATCTATTAGTAACTTCATAATCTAGTAGTTATCTTTATGATTTATATAGTCTAATCTCGATATACTGATAGTTTATATACCGATAATTGACATATACCAATAAATTTCCTTTGTCCAATTAATAAAAAAACCTCATTATACTGATATTATATATTGTTTCACAATATAACATATACCAATGCAATTTTTTTGTCCCTTAATAAGTGATATATAGTACTATATAGGAGGTTTGCTAGGAAAATGGGGCTCCGAGCATTTTTTATTAAAATTTTAATTTTTATTGCATTTTAATTTTTGATAATGTTGGATTAAAATGCAATAAAAATTAAAATTTTAATAAAAAATGCTCAGAACCCCATTTTCCTATCAAACTTCCCATATACTGATATTTTAAGTTACACCAGTATATATATTAGCTTTTTTTGTTTTAACACGTCGTGTTTTAGCTAGTAATGATGTCTCAATAAAGAAAAAGGAAGTCTGTTCAAGATACCTTCCAATCAAATAAAAGAGTTGTATTGACACATGCATAAAAGCGTCAACTCTGTTTAGATTTACAGAAAACGTCACGCCTTACTCAAGAGGAACTTGCTGTTTTATATAAAATTAAGCAAATACTGTTTCAGATATTTTTTAAAAAAAAAAGTGGTTACTTGTAAACCTAGACTCTAAAGATGCAAATAAACAGAAGGAGAGACCTATTTATTTTTCTCAAGTAGAAAAGCCCTTTCATTATGAGTAACAAATACACTTGCTGCAGAACTTACCATTAACACTGATATTTTACGTGAAAAGGCAAAATATTTTGCTTAGCAATTTGAAATCAATAAATTTTCATTTTCTAATGAATGGATTGATAAATTTAAAAAATGCTATAATTTAAAAGAATACATTAAGTGGGATGAAGCTAAAAGTACGCTATTAGAAATCTTAGATGAAGAAAAAGATATTTTACACAAAATTATTAAAGATTATGACTTAAACGATGTTTTTAACTATGATAAACAGGTAAGTTTTTTTTTCAATAAAGCTCCTATTTTTTTATATTTTAAGATTTGTTTATTTTAGAATTGTATTGGGATCTTGAATTATCAAAAACATTAGCACAAGAGCCTCTTTCAGGAACAAAGAAATCTAAAAAGCAGATTACTCTACTTATTACATACAATGCTACCAGTACTGAAAAATTAAAACCATTATTTATTTATAAATACCAGAATCCACAAGCATTAAATAGGAAAAATAAAGATGAATTACCAGTAAATTATTACTGGAATTCAACTGCATAGATGCAAGTTAGTATTTGGAATGATTATCTTAAAAAATTAGACAAGCAAATTAGATTACAAAATCGCAATATCCTTTTACTTGTTGACAATGCTTTTGTACACATTATAAATGAAGATATTAATTTAACAAATATGGTTGTTCATTTTTTTGCCATCAAATACTACATCTCATTTACAACCATGCGATGCAGGAATCATTAATTCCTTTAAAGTTAGTAATTTTTATTATTAATTTGCAATAGTAATTTTTTTATGAAATCTAATTTAATTCATTATAAATTCTCAATAATTTAGACACAGTACCGGAAATTACTTGTTAGAAATAGAATTGAAACATATGAAATTTCATAAGAACTTAACAAAGAGCCTACTCCCATAAATATTCATGATTCTATTGATTTCAGCATGAATGCTTGGAATTCTGTAAGTAAACAAATTATTATTAATTGTTGGAAGCATATAGGAATTCTACTATTAAATAAAATGGACGAAATTAGTAAAATTGAAGATCAAACATTACATGATGAAATGGATTACAAGATTTAATTAACAAGCTACCATTTGATAACCTTATGGATGCAGATGAATTTCTTCATATTGATGATTGTTTGAAAAATAATGAAAGGTTAACCAATAATGAAATTGTGTCTATGATAAAGTCAAAAAATAATAATAAATCAGAAATGGATCCAGATGAAGAGCCTCCAATAGTAATTTCTGAAACAAAAGCTTTAGGTTATTTGAATGATCTTGTTTTATTTTTTAAACATTCATCAGATGTTTGTATTAACCCAAATAAATTAAGTATATTGCAGAAGTTAAGGCATCAAGTATCAAAATTATATGTTAATAACTCAAAGCAAATAACGTTAGATAATTTTGTTCAAATCCTTTAATATAGTTTTTATATTATATATACTATGTTAATATAATAAATATAAATAATATACTAATAAAATGCGTTACTAAATTTAAAAAAAAAAATATATAAATAATATATCATTATTTTTTTTAAAGTATTTTATTAGAATTTGACTTAAATGAAATTACTTTATTAAATAATTTATTTTACATTGTAATTTTATACAAAATTTTATATACCAATATTAATCTACATTTTATTATTAATATCGATATATAAAATTTTCATAATGTACTGATATTTTGATATACCAATATTTTTTTCCAAAAACATCTATATCGATATATAGAGATTTAACTGTATTAATAACTTTATAACTTAAATACATAATCTAATAGTAATATTATAATCTATTTTTTTTAATATTTTTTAGCATTCTAATATTGTTTTAGTTAATTCCTAATATATTATAATAGTAACTTTATAATCTAATGGTAATTGCAACTCTTTAATCTAATGGTAATTTCATGATTTAATAGTTTTTTTTATCATTTTTAACCTTTTTATTATTAAGAATTTTCTCAATTGTTTATATGATTTTATAGCCTTTTTATTATTAAGAAATAATCTATTTGTTTACCTACTTCTAGACCTATTTAATGATTTGTTAAGATATCAAGAGTGCTTCATTTTGTAATTTTTTGGAGACCTTCTAAGATACTGAGGTAATGTAAAAAAAAGGTGACAGTACTAAATTTGAAATTAATTTTGGCTAGCTCTATGACATAATTTTAGTTGAATTTTAAAGCATATGATTTGAGAATCTAACTTAATATCATAGTAGTGTTATGGTAGTTTCTAAATACTAGCTAAAAACTGACAAGAAATAAGAATAATTCTATTAATTCATTAGTTCTAAATCACTTTTATATCAGGTTAAATGTCAAGTTATTGCATTACAAGTCTAACAAAAAATTGTAGAATTGTGCTGACTAAAAATTAGAACTCTGAATCAGGTCAAGTCAATCTGTGATCTGATCTGATCTGACCTGAAAAATCCAGATCAGATAAATAAATTTTCAGGTCAACATTAGGTCAGGTCAAGCTTATGATCCAACCTGATAAAATTCAGATTAATTAATCAAATTAAACGAAATAAAATATTTAAAATAAATTTTTTTTTGATCTATTTTTTTTTAAAATATCTTTAATTTTATTAATATACTTTCTTTTTATATTCTAATAAAGTTATTAGCATAATTATTTTGTAATTTATTATAATTAAAAAGTTAAATTTTAAATTATAAACATTTTTTGTAATTACATTGTTCAACAAATTAATTTTAATTTTATTTTATCTGTTCAATTACTTCAAAGAGATATTAGAATACTTTAGTCAAAGGAAATCAACTTTATTGTGTAAGTAAAATTACTCAGCGGGTTCGAAAATATGTGCATATAAATTTTTATTATGATTAGATTAACGGTCACAGGACATATCCAATGATTTACAAATGAATAATAATTTAAAATTTTATGATAATGAGATTATAATATAACAATTAGATGTATTTTTTTTTTCAAAAATAAATTTTTTTAAAAAGTTTAATTAAACTTATTTATTAATATATATTTATTTCATTTAAAAAAAATTTGGTTTATTTTTATGCTATATTTATTTTTTTATAAAGTATTTTATAATAAACTATAAAACTAAACCTTTTCTGCAAGATCGTTTTTCAATATATTATTTTTTTTATTAAAAATAAATTCAAAATATTTAATGAAGTTTAAAAAAATAAAAAAATAAAAAACTTTAAGGTAAATATATATCAATTGTATTTATTTATTCGATATCATTAGTGTTAGGTTTTAATTTTTTAAAGTGTCTTCTATAACATAACCAAACTTCTCGAATTCTCTTTAGATCCTATTCTTCAGGTTTACTATCTGATAAAATACAGATTTCTACAAGTATTTTTTTTGTTTCTTCTAATGATAATTCAGATATTTGTTGTAAATTTATAAAAATTTTTTGTTCTGATTTCGTTAAAGATCTATATTGTTGTTTAAGATTAGAAACTTTAAAATCTAAAATAAAAAATAATATTTTATTAATTGTTATAACAATAATTACTATCATAATACTTTTATTTTTCAAATATATTACTTACCGTTACCATTATCACTACTTTTTATATTATTATTATTTTTAATTTGTTTTTCTATTTATTTTTCTTCGACATTTTTTGTTGTTCAATTTTAATTGTATTTACATTTTTTATACGATGTCCTTTTGTATTATAGGGAATACTTTTTTTGATTTCTTGTGCATGGATATTATTAATTCATTCAATTCCTATTTCATAACAATTAAAAAGATTTTTTCTAATAATTCATCTGACTCTGACTCTGAATCTAACTAATTCTTCATCATATGATTTGGAGTCTGAAGTTAATATTTCCAAAGCAAAAAAAAGTGAAGAAAAAATTGAGTAAATCTTCTACTTCACCAAAAAGGAAAGATCAAAAGATTATAAGTCTCATAAGAAATCCTAAAGGAATCAAATATAAGATACTGTGATTAATCCTAATACTAAATTTTTGATTATAACTAATAATATAACCAAATAATTAAAACTAAAAATTGATATAGGTGAAAGGTATAACTTTAAAGGCATTAATATAGTCCTTATAAAGTCACTTGATAAGGTTAAAAATATATCAGTATATTTTACTTCCAGATGCATTATATATTCTGATTTTATAGTAATTAAAAATTATCTTAGAAAATCAATGTTGATTTTACCTAATACTTTACTTAATAAATATTATTATAATTTACTTATTTCAAAGCAAGAATTAAACTTATTTGTAATAGCAAAGAATTTTTTATCCCAATTAATATGTATAAGATAAAGAATAAGCTTAAGATGAATTGTGTAAATATTACTTCCAATGTGAGAATTTCTTGACTTTAGATTGCATTTTACAGGATTTAAGTAATAAAGACATATTAAAAAAAAGTGAGTTATGAAAGTATAGCAATTTATATGAAATGTCTGAGAAGGCATTATTTACTAATGTTTAATCGAATTTAAATCATAGAATACTATAATAATCTTAGCAAGTAGCATGAGTGATAATAAGCTAAGACTTAGTAGCTAATTTTTGTATAAAATCACAATCTTTTATCAAGATCTTTTCTATTCCATTTTGTAACTTCTTAAATATTTTTAGAGTATCTTTAGATCTTTTAAAATAATGAGTATTAGGCTGAAAAATGATGATAACTTTAATATTTGTTTTTTTTTGTCTTAATCTTCTACTTACCTTTTCTAATAAATCCTTACTATTAAATATATGAAAAGATTTTTGTATAAAACTACTAGATAATAAAGAAATATTATGTGAAAAATTTTGATTATCATCTGAATTCTGACCAGAAGACATTTTATATAAATGAAGAAGAGGATCAGAAAATATAATATCCTATTAAATACAATTAGATTAGCTTAATACATATTAATGCTAAATTTCATAAATTCATTTTGTTGTAATATGATGTTTCTTAATCATTATTGTTATAGTATTTTAATATTTTCAAATGTTTTAGATGATAAAATAATAGCATTTATGCTATAATATTCTTTATATAGTCATTCCATTTTATTGTAAAAAAATCATAAATAATTGTTAATTTTTATCGATTATTATCAAAATTTATTTAAGAATTATAATTGATATTTATTAAATTTTATCAAATTTTCTTGATAATTATTGCTTATTTTGAATAACTTTTAAAAAAGACCAGTTTTATTAAATATTTTTAAAAAATATGAGTATTGGAAATTTTTCAAAAATTATCAGTTAGAAAGTTCATATAAATCATATATGCTTTCACTTTTTTTCCCATTTAATATTCTAAAATAAATAAATTGAGTTTGCAATAAATTTCAATTTTTCAGTAAGTTCTGATTATTAACTATATCTTTATATATTTCATGCTAATATGATATTTTTTATATATAATATGATCTATATTTGGAATATTCTTTGAGGTATTTCTAATTTCTTTAATAGCTTCAAATAATAAAGAAGTTATATTTGATCTTAAAGATCTTCTATGTATTTTTAATTAATTATCAGTAAGATTGCTAGATAAAATCTAAAGTTTAGATAGATGTCTAAATGGTAAAGGTAAGTAAAACTTGATTAAATTATATTAAAATCTTATTAAAAAATCCAAAATTCAGAGAAAGATAAAACTATATCAAAGCTAATAAAAATGGTAAAACTATATTAAACATTTAGTAAAAATTTAGTGAAACTAAAAATTTAGACGTTTAGCCAATCTAAAATGAGTTTAGACAAATAATCTTAATCATCAGTAATATTTAATATCTATTCATGTTTAAGAGTGTAATTTTTCTAGCTATTAGCCAGAAACTTTACCAAAAAAATGTAAGATAACTATTTACACAAATCATGATGAATAATCTGAAAATTATTTTTTTCTACTATTAAAGTATATATGAAAGTAGATCATGACCTATATGCATATTATGAAAGATTTAATTCAGGTCATCATCTTGGTAATGCTTATAAAGTTAAGCTTTAGAAAGCATTGCACATTAGTAGTAAATCTGTTTCTGAATTTATTAATAAATACAATGACTTGCTAGAAGCGTATTTAAACTTTGAGAAAAGATCTAATAAAGATAAAGCCAAATTAAATTGTAATTTAAAATAGGTTAATACTAATATTGAAAAACTTTTTAAGTATATACATAATCTTACAAATAAGATAATGTAGTTGTATTTAAAGAAAGTTTTTTTAAATTCTCAGGTTATTCACAATGTATCTCTTTTGTAATGTCTAAGAATAAAGTTACTACAAAATCAAAAGAGATAAACATTCTTTAATCTAAGTTGAAAGTGTTAGATAAGAATTATTTCTCAATCAAATAAATTTATCTGAAATAGATTCTTTCAGACTTAAATTAAAATATACAAAAAAAGATTTATTCTTAAAAATTATGAATTTGGAATATATAGAAAAGAAAGTAGAGACAAAAAAAAAATATAAATGAGTATTGAATGATTTATCTTCAGTAAGACTTAAACTATCTGAGAAAGATAATCTTCTTTGAGAGTTAGAGTCAAAAAAAATAATAAAATAAATCACACATCTTGCTTATAAATGATTCATCATAACTTTTCCTTCAAGCTCATACTTTCACTTTTACAGAGAATATCAGGATGCATCACTATATCTAAAACTAGAGGTATATGATCTTTTTATCTTGCTAACTACCTTAAATGTGAAAGAAATAATTCTTTTAAAATTATTTAAAGTAAGCAATACCTTGCTTCTGACTCTTCTTCAGCTAAAATTATTTTAATAAGTGATGTAGAAGTAATTTTGACTATTTAGACTTCTTAATATCATCAATATAAATATATATCATATTTACTTTATTACTTCTTACAATTATATAGATTATGGTTGGAAAAAGAATATGGAATTCATAAAAAAAAAGTAATTTCTCTTTTCAAAGAATCAGATATCAGTAAACATATATCCTTTATTTTTTCTAACTCTGAAATATATGGGTTTAATGTGAGACCAGAGAATCAGATGATTGAAAATAAAATTAAAGTTAGCTGATATTATTATATAAAAAAAAAATATATAAATATTATAAGTTTTCTTATCTGAAATTACCACATTCCACTAGAATACTTATAAATTTATTGTAAATTCTTAATATATTTTTTTTTCTTATCTGAATCCTTAATTTGCATGATCTTATGCTTTAGAGATGATTGATATTTATTAATAAAGTGTGTACACATTTCTTTTATTTTATCCAAATAGCAGTTGATATTTATTTTTATATTAAGTTTTTTTTTGCAATATCTAAGAATTTTATATAATTATTCTTTCTTATCAATTTTATGCTATCATTTTATAGCAGTGATTATACATGAAGTCGAAATGAAAACCCAAAAGTCGAAATGTTTCGACTTTGGAGGTCAAAGTCGAAATGAAAA